TCTAGGTCAAATACTTTTTGAGTTACATGCGACACAAGTTGAAAATTGCAAAATTTTACTAAGTCAAGGGCAATAACTCTAAAAATACTAATAATATCCAGATATAAATACCTAGGTGCACAACTTCACATGCTGATCAACATTCCTGTAAAGTTTCTTGACTCTAGGTCAAATACTTTATGAGTTACATGCCACACAAGTTGAAAATTGCCAATTTTACTAAGTCAAGGGCAATTACTCTAAAAATACTAATAATATCCAGACAAAAATACCCAGGTGCACAACTACACATGCTGATCAACATTCCTGTAAAGTTTCATGACTGTAGGTCAAATACTTTTTGAGTTACATGCGACACAAATTGAAAATTGCAAAATTTTACTAAGTCAAGGGCAATAACTCTAAAACTACTAAAAATATCCAGACAAAATACCCAGGTGCACAACTACACATGCTGATAAAATTCCTGTAAAGTTTCATGAATCTAGGTCAAATACTTTTTGAGTTACGTGCGACACAAAAGAGAACGGACAGACAGACGGACGGAAGGACGGACGGACAAGGGTAAATCTAAATGCCCGCCACTAAAGTGGGGGCACAAAAAGCATTGGATCGACTTAATAAATGAAATTCCATTGAAACAAAGACATCGTCGAATCCCTCCAGCAATGATAGATGAAGTACGTGCTCACCTTGAACAACTTTTAGCAAGTGGTGTAATATCCAAATCCAAATCACCTTCGGCATCAAATATCGTCTTAGTAAGAAAGAAAAATGGAAAAATCAGAATGTGTATTGACTATCGCATGCTCAACAAAAGAACTGTGAAAGATGCATATGCCTTACCACGTATTGAAGAAGTATTTGACTGCCTTAGTTCTTCAAAGTTATTCAGTGTCATCGATATGAAAAGTGGTTATCATCAAGTCCCTATAGAAGAATCCCATAAAGAAAGAACAGCCTTTACAGTTGGTTCACTTGGACTTTACCATTATGAGAAGATGCCTTTCGGACTTTGTAATTCTCCTGCAACTTATCAGAGGCTTATGAAAGAGTGCTTAGGAGACTTAAACATGAAGATTTGTGTTACATATCTTGATGACCTGATCATTTTTTCTGACAGTTTAGAACAACATCTGGAATGACTTGATACAATTCTTACTCGTCTACAAGAATGCAATTTGAAATTATCTGCTGACAAGTGCTTCTTTCTTCAAAAACGTGTTAAATTTCTTGGACATATTGTTAGTGAGTTTGGTGTAGAAACAGATCCTGAAAAGATTGAAAAAGTTAAAAATTGGCCAACACCATCAAACGCAGATGAACTTCGCTCATACCTAGCATGCGCAGGATATTATCGTCGCTTTGTGAAAGACTTTTCCAAGATAGTGAAACCACTGAATGATTTATTACCACCAACATCATTGAAGAAAAAGGGAAATAAACATAAAAAAGAGTGGAAATGGACAGAAGTTGAACAAAATACATTTGACAAATTGAAAGAGATACTCACATCACCTCCAATATTAGCTTATCCTGATTTCAACTTACCATTTGAGTTACACACGGACGCATGTATTACAGGGTTAGGAGCGATTCTTTATCAGAAACACGGAAAAGAGAACAGAGTCATTGCATATGCTAGCAGAAGCCTTACAAAATCAGAGAAAAATTATCCGGCATTTAAATTGGAATTTTTGGCGCTTAAGTGGGCAGTTACTACAAAATTCAGCGACTACTTATCAGGAAACCATTTCACTGTATACACAGATAATAACCCTTTGACACATATTTTGACAACAGTTAAACTTGATGCAACTGGTCAAAGGTGGTCATCAGCATTAGCAGCATACAACTTTGACATAATATATCGACCAGGAAAGAAGAATGCGGATGCAGATGCTATGTCTTGTTATCCACATGAAAAGATAATGGATGAAGATGGAGATTTGATAAAGATTGACAACAATACAGTCAAGGTCATCTGTAGTTCTATTCAAGGTGAACCTTACATTGAAATACTCCCATCTGCAGCAATAAACATCATAGAGGCAACTGATTCACCAGGTCAACCTATGGCACAAGTTCATTTAAGAGACATAAGACAGCAACAAAGACAAGATATTCACATTGGTAAATGGGTCACATCAGTAACAAATAAAAAGCTTCCTAGATTAAAACACTTTACAAAAGAAGACAGCATAATGAAAAGGAACTTTAATAATTTGAAAATAGTTAGAGGTGTACTTTATAGGGAAGTGACAATCAATGAAGAAAAAATACTACAGCTGGTTTTACCTGAAGTCTACAGAACAACTGCGTTACAAGGTCTTCACAATGATATAGGTCACCCAGGACTGTTGAGAGAAAGATTTTTTTGGCCAGGAATAGCAGCAGACTGTGAAAAGTGGATCAAGAATTGTGATAGATGTCTTCGCAGAAAGTCAGATACTAATACTAGAGCACCGCTTGTAAATGTAGTGACAACTTATCCACTAGAACTTGTGTGTATGGACTTTTTAACCTTGGAACTATCAAAGGGCGAATTTGATTCTAGTTATAACAGATCATTTTACCAAACTCGCTTTAGCCATACCAACTAGAAATCAAACAGCAAAAACAACTGCAGAAGCTTTTTATGAAAATTTCATCATCCATTATGGCATACCAACTAGGATACATTCAGATGAAGGGGGTAATTTTGAATCAACACTTATCAAAGAGCTTTGTGAATTATTTGGCATAGAAAAATCTCGTACAACACCTTATCACCCAAGTGGTAATGGACTTACAGAAAGATATAATAGAACGCTGCTCAATATGTTAGGTACCTTTGATCCAAGCAAAAAGGCAGACTGGAAGAAGCATTTGCCATCCCTTGTACTTGCATAAAATTGCACTAAACATGAATCAACAAAGTTTTCGCCATTTCAACTGATGTTTGGAAGAACACCAAAATTACCGATAGATTCTGTTTTCGAACAAACACAAGAAACACCTCAACAAAAAACAACTGAATACATTGAAAATTTGAAACAAAGATTAGAATCTTGAAGAGAAAATGTAATGAAACATGCAAATACCGCAAGACAAAGACAGAAGAAACTTTATGATAAAAAAGCAAAAGCAACAAAGATACAAGTAGGTGACAACGTGCTGGTAAAGATTTTGGCATTTGAAGGACGTCACAAGATTGCTGATAGATTTGAGGAAGAACCATATGTTGTTATCAATCAACCAAATCTAGATAGTCCTGTGTTTGAAGTTAAGGCTCAAGATGGAACAACTAGAACATTGCACAGAAATAACTTATTGCTGCTTGATTCCATTCACAATGGAGACAACAAAAGCAATTCAGAGGTGGAAGATCAAACAGAAAGTAAGAAAAGACCTATTCCAAAACCAAGAAAGAAAGTTAACCACGTGTAAATTCCTGTTGAAATAAAGCAAAATACCAGAATACTCAGAAGATTCAGAAGAAGAATATGTTCTACAAACATATAAAGGTGGGGACGCACACACTTCTGAAGATAAGGCGAAGGAAAAGACAACAGATGAAACTGACGCACACACTTCTGAAGACAAGGATGAGACAACAGATGAAACTGATAAAGATGTTGTAAACGACAAGGTTGAAGAAGTTGTAGAAGAAATCATAGATCCAGAATCTATGGTTGCTAGTGGAGGAACAGAAATCACAGATTTAAGTCATGAATCTAACGAGATGGATAAAGAAATTAATAGTGTGGAAATTTCCAGTGGTGAAAAAGAAGAAAGTGCAATGTTAGATGATAATACAAATACAGAGACAGAATTAAATAGAAGACCTAAAAAGAAAAGACAGAAACAAATTACAAAATCACCTGTAAGAAGATCAGAAAGATCAACTAAGAAACCAGCATGGCAGGAAGACTATCATATGAACCAAATTGTAATATCTACAAAAGATAGAAATGAAGCATTAGACAAACTATTGGAATCTGGAATTTTAAATTCAGTGAGCAAAGATATCGCAAACAGATTATTGGTGGCTGTCATGATATAGACATTTTAAAGTGAAAAAAAATGTGTACATGAATATGTTTTTATAGTTGTGTATATAAATATAATGTATATATTGTTGTTTATTTTTAGAGCACAAGTACTATGGATTGAAAATTGTGAGACACAATTTTTGACAGCAGGGGAGGAGAATATAGTTTGATTTTGAATATGTTTGCAGAAGTATACATATTTACATTTATGAAATATTTTGTTTCAGCATTTAATCATTTGCTGATGACATAGACAAGAATATTTTGATTGATATTTTTCAGGTGTATACTGTACTGTGTTCAACGTGATATTAATTGTCATACAAAAATTTTCTTTGTTTCAGATGATAAATACATTTTCTTTTTTTTTCGAAATGATGAGACATCATTTTCAGAAGTGGGGGAAAGTGTAGCAGATGTCAATTTTTAAAAAGTTATTAAATTCTTAACTTTTCATTATTTATCATTTTTTAAACATGATGGGTCTTTAAATCATTTATTGAATCCAACGTGGTGGGTCTTTAAAGTTCGTAAAGATGAACTGTAATCAATATTTCGAACGGACTTTCCTTATTGTTGATTGGCTCTTTCGTTTTGTCTCGTCCAATCAGAACTTGCGTTTCAAGTGCTTGTGGTCACATGGTATAGCATTGCGGGAGAAGCCGCCATGTTTAACTTCAGTTGAGTTGTTGTAAATGGTCGTGTGTTGATTAAATTAAAGTTTGTACGGTTTTGATATAAATTTGATAGGTTGGATATAGGATTGAGGTTGGTATAAGGTTTGTACTTTGTACTGGTTGTATGACATTGTGGATTGTTCGGTTGTTGATGTTGTATTTTGGTATTTCTTCGCGTTTCAATTGTCGGTTTTGACACTCGCGAAAAAGCATTGTAATTGCTGGTCTACAACTGCCATTTTACTTCTTATTAACATCTTGCATGAATATGACCAATTTAACATTACAGCACAGTAGTTATTCACAGTGTGACAGTTGACAGTGGAGTGGAGTGTTTTGTCAGGGTACTTGTTTTACAAACAAGGTATGTAACTGTTGTATTGTTGTTGTAAACATCATATTGTAAAATATTATTTAAGCCTATTCTGGACTTGTTAATTAAAATTTATTTAAAGGTACAGACCACTACACCACAAGACATCATCACTAATTTGATATTTTAATCTTTAATCTTATTATTTTGATGTAAAGTATTATAAAGTTTATGGTTGTAATGTTTGTATTGTTCTGGATTAATAGGATAAGGATACAGTTATTAACTTACAGTTAATTAAGTAATGTATAATGCTATTTGCATATTGAATAACTTAATATTGTATTTTGTATGATATTTGACTATGATATCTCTTTGATATCTTGTACATTTGATATCATTGATATCAAATGGTTAACACTTTTTGTTTAACTATTGTTTCAGATCCAGACAGTACAGTATTATATGGTATTGTACAGTGGTATACAGACCTGTTAATAAATATTTGTATGTCTTTGAGTGGACCCACTGGTTAATAAAGCAGAAATATATGTGAACCAATCCAAGACTTAGTTTTATGTAAAACCCCAATCTGCTAGACTTATATTTAAAGTTTGAAGTAAACACCTTAAGAAATAAAGAACTTATAGTGAAAAAGCGTAAAAATTCAAATCAGAAATCTTGAAATTCAGTCTATTTGTTGCCATAGCAACCAGAATTTTCAACATAGGAAGAAAAGAAAAAGATATGCATAATCTCCAGACTGCCATCTACCCATATTTCAAGTTTCATAAAAATATTTTTAGTACTTTTTGAGTTATCACTGAATCCAGTTTATAGGTTAAATTTGCCATATTTTCAGTCTATTTGCTGCCATAGCAACCAGAATTTTCAACAAAGAAAGAAAAGAAAAAAACGTGTATAATCTCCATACTGCCATTTATCCATATATCAAGTTTCATAAAAATATTTTCATTACTTCTTGCGTAATCGTCAATCAATGGCTTAGTGGTTTATGAGATGTCATTTAAAGTAAAAGTTTCAAATTGAGGCCGGGCGAATTGCAAGAACAAAAGCTCACCATGTCATTTTGTGCCCTGGCCTATGGTCCAGAAAATACGGTCTTTTGATTTTCTGAATTATGAGGGTCCCTTACAAAATTTGTGGTATTTATATTCTGTCCTTATATTACTTTAAAAAGCAGTTGTATTTTTTTTAATTACCTTCTCTGCAGCAGAGGAATGTGCCAGTCAAATTTGTTTCTATCACAGCATTCCAACCCTTTAATTTTATATCTTCGGCAACACTAGGAAATTGACCTCCTCCGTTGTTCACTAGAAAATCTAATTTGTCAAACTTGGACACAGTTGTTGATATAAGTTCTTTTACCTATCGTAGTAGAAAATAAAAGAATTTGTAATAGAGTTACAAATATCCTTCGCCTCGATAAGTTTTACTTGGTATGGATCTGGACTTTCAGTGCAAAATTTTATAAATGCTTAAATGATTTTATAGATGCAACAGAAATAGGATGAAACTATAAATGTGATCATTCCCCCACCAAAAACAGCTTTTATTCCTAAAATTAGAACCACCACAAACAGGAACCAATTTTCACTTTTTGTTATTATCATATGCAAAAACACTGGAAGAGCCCTTCTTGAGTGAAGGTCTGTTAAAAGTCAAGGTCATATTTTGAAAAGTTCAAATACTATTTAAGTAAAGTGTTCTGTATTGTAACTAAAATAACAGCAACATCTATCTTTGTATTTGTTTGTAAATCATTTTAATTGTATATAATAACTATTTTGGATACAGTCTAATCAGTATTTTTTACTTCTCTACTTTTTGTGTGCAGGCGATTATGAACCAGAACGTTATTGATTATATCCCATCCTATTGAAACGATAATAATTCTCTAATTCTCAGAACTGGAAATAGTTTTTTATTCATCTGGCTACTTTGGGATTTTTTTTTATAAATTGGAATAAAAAGAGTGTATTTTGGATTGGTAATGGGGCTTTTTTTTGGTGATAGGGTAAAAATGTCTTCGAATAGTTGAGCTAAAAACAATAAAGTGTTAATGGCTGCATATCTTGTCATTACAACAAATTTAATAGTTGAGCTAAAAACAATAAAGTGTTAATGGCTGCATATCTTGTCATTACAACAAATTTAATAATCACTTTAAGAAACTCTCTTTTATGATGTCTGAATTACTTTATGATCTTTATGAATGATGAATGTCAATAAATTTTGTACCTGATCTTCCTGCCTAATGTTGCACTGCATGTGTTCAAGTTTGGCAGAATTATTTGTTATCTGCGATCGTAGAATTTCAGCTGATTTTGATAATCTGTCCAACTTTCTTGAAGCTATCATCACTTTACATCCTAAAAGAAACAAGAAGGTCATGAGAGCTAGAGGTGTCACAATATATCGCTATATCAGTATATTGCAGTATGCTCCTGAACCATATTGTACGGGGATAAAAAAACAAGAGGGCCCCGAGTCGCTCACCAGAAACAACTGCTTTTCAGTGTTGGAAATTATTTTTCAAATGAACTTGCTGAAAGGCAAGTCCAGCTCAACTTTAACTTGCCCCTCTAGTAATATACTTTCACAACACTGTTTTGTTTCTTTTTCTTCATAATAAACAATAGGGCCACTATGATGGCCCTAAATAATTCATCTAACCCATCTTTACATTATTCACTATATGAATTGAACTATTTTGCCCTAATATTTTTGAAAGGCTTTGTTAAAAATATCTATGTTGCAAGTGTGTACCTATGTAGAATAAATGCAGAATAAATTACCACTACAGCAGAGTTAATTTTAATGGGACAATCTTTTTATGACTTTTGACAAAATGTCACATGCAAAATATGTAAGGTGTAGATGTTTGAAGTTTACAGTTTGGGACAACAAATTTTTTATACATTCTAAATAGTAACATAACTGTACCTTAAAAAAAACAATTGGTCAAACAATGTAAAAAATATCAAAATTAGGCCAGCTGATACAGGGTTCGAATTTAGCAATATTTACTTCTACGAGGGATGATCAAAAATAAACCGGACTGTGACTGGCAATTGAAGAATTTGCATCCTTTCACTTATTGTTATATATCACACTTAATCGGAAAACAATACCTGTAAACTGATACTATATCTAACCTGATAACGCAAATAGCTTGTCCGTAACAGCGAATTCAAAAACATGGTAACGCACACCCGGCGCAGTGCGTAAATTCGCCTTGACATCAGGCGCTTTATGCTGCGTGTATTTTACAATATGGCACATTTAGATTTCAAAATACGCCAAAACGTCATGTACCATATCTTTGACGTTGTCAGTAAAATTGACTTCATTTAAACCATATTTATTTTTACAATCACAATTCAAACGTCACATGTTAATGAAATACTCGCATTAAAACTATGTCGTCGGAATGTCTCGAAAATCGATCAATATGAAAAATTAGTCAAATGAAAGACGAGAAACTGTTTAAAACGTAGAAAAAGATTATGGTTATCAAGGGAAAAGTTCCAGAAAGCCACAGCATATTTTTGATTAGCTTAAAGGATTAAGAAAGGATAATAGAGAAATAGTAAACAAGTAAGGGTGAGACAGAAAAAAGACATTTTCAAGGATGTTGGTGACGTCAATCGCCAAGACGTTGAAAAATGACAGTCGATTGACTGCGGACATTGTCAACGATGTTCGACAGTAACTACGGGACGGTGCAGTCAACTCTGAGGATTTTAAAATGACAACAGTTAATGCATTAATTACATGTATTGTATTCTTGGTTTACAATTGTATCAATTATTTTCTTATTTTACGCAGTAGTCTTATGGAGAAATTGTGTCAACAATTTAACAGTCACTGTTCAAATTGGCTATGCGTTTTATTTATTTTAAAATATGATAAACAAGATCAACAAGGAAAGGCGGCGTTCAATGAACGCAACCCCCATATGACCCAGCAACAAGAACCAATGGCAAGGAGCCCAGGCGGACCCCAAACAAAAACAGGACAGGGCAAAGACAGAGCACGGACAGGTTAATCACTAAATGATAAATAATTTGTAACTGATTAGGAATTCAAAGACAATAATAATAGGCCCACAAAGGGGAAGGGGGGCAGGAGACCGGGGGAAGGGGGGAGGGTTAATCAAAGAAATAAAAACTAGAGGCAATGGGGAAGATACTTACCGTAGACGAGAAAACAACAAGGGACACAAGCAAAAGTGTCACCAAAACAGTATGAAACAACATAGACATAAATCTGAGGAACACAGTGGGGCGCCGCCTTGGAACGGTCAGCAGCATAAAAATGACTGCTGGGGAGTTTAAACCGGTTAATGGTGCACCAAACCTCGCACTTAGCCCCACCATGTTCCTATAAACGAGACAGTGTAAATAAAATGAATCCCCGCCAAGTGAAATTCTAACAGCTGTCATGGTAACAAAAGGTTAAATAAGTAAAACACTAAAATGATCATGTAGGACCATATAAAAGTAAACCCAATGACCATAACAAAAGTACTCAATGTCCTAAAGGAAGACAGAGCAACAAGAAAATCACCTACAAGGGCCCGACGAAGCAAGGCAGAAGACGAACATTAAGACAATTCAGTCCCAAAGGGCTTTATGAACTATCCATCATAGGGTCTCCCACTTGGTCCGTCAGATGCAATCAAAAGAGGAAAGCGTAGTGTCCAACTGTAAAAGGGTTGAACACTAAACATGCAGTATGTCTTAAAATAGTAGGGTCATAACCTCTTTTAATAAAACGTTTAATGATTTTAGTAAAAACAGCAGAAAAGTAACGAAGTTTGTAAATCACATCGCCATAAAAACCAGGCTGGCTAATCCCTTGTCGCAGAAGAGTTTTTAAATCACTATTGAATTTAGAAATTAAATCAAAGTTACGATTGTAAAATTTAGTAAAATATTTCCGTAATTTATGATAGCGGTAGCCCTGTTTTAGAAGCTTGCTGGTAATAAAAATATTCCGCTCGTTGAAATCCTTTACGTTGCTACAAGCTCTAGCGAATCTAATTAACTGAGAAACATAAACCCCGTAAGATGTTGTATGGGGTACGTCTCCATCTAAATGTGGATAATTAACTATACAAAAGTCAAAGTCATCTCTTTTATCATAGATTTTCGTGTGAATAGAATTGTTGTTGATAGCAACACGAAGATCCAAAAATGATGTACTCAAATTTCAAGAGTTCGTTTTATTAAGTTGTAGTTCATGCGGATAAATGTCAGACACCATTTGATCAAAATAAGGATTATCTAAATTAAAAATATCATCAAGGTATCTGGAAGTATTATTAAATGCGACTATAACATCTTGTTGTTTATCTTCAGAGAGACTCAACATAAAGTCTCTTTCATAGCAGTACAAAAACAAATCGGCGACCAGGGGTGCACAATTAGTACCCATAGGAATTCCTATGATCTGTTTAAATAGGGTATTACCAAACCTGACATTAATGTTGTCTAAAAGAAAAGAGAGTGCTCTACAAACTTCGTCACAGGTCCACATAGTATAATGTTTAACAATACCGTTAGTAAAAAAAGCTTTGTTAGAATTACATGCTAGAAAGGTAACTTTTTCCCGTGCAAAAGTTTTCTGAATTAGGGAAATTAGTTTATCATTGATTAATTTATGTGGCAAAGTTGTATAAAGTGTAGAAAAATCGTATGTACTGACAGTTGAAGCTTGAAAGTTCTTAATTTTGAATTTATCCAAGATTTCACCAGAATTTTTAATTGACCAAAAGAGATGTTTGCCTGTGTTTTCATATACTTTATCACAATATCTAATTACATGTGTTTTAATGGCAGTCAAACAAGACGTCAATAAAATAGGAAGTTTACTTGTAGTGCAAGATATAGAATTAGCAATGAATCTGGCTTTGTAAGGTTTTTATTTGTTTGGGTCGTCAGACCAAACAAATAATGGTAGCGAAATTTCAGAGTCTAATGTTGTTAATTGCAAATGCCGAAAGTAGTCCACTTTTTTGAAGCGGTTACTTCCCTTTTGTATGTACACTAAAGCCGAAAAATTCAGGGGAGATCACTGCGTAAAGATGGTCAAAGACAGGCGCATCAATTTTCAAGCAAAGTAATTCCCGAATGGTCGAAGATTTCTAATATTGTTTTATTGTATTTTCTGATCGAAAATAACTAAATACAAAGCGGACGTTCAATCTCTGACACAGAAGTTTACGACAAACCTAACAACAAGTAGTTCTCAAAACAGCTTAAAACTAGCGATTTAAAAGAAAGAAATATTTTATTTTGTTACAAGTATCCAACAAATTACAACGCATTTAAAGTTAAACAATAGCGTTGGCTTATAGAATTGTCAATAAATGCACAATCACAAATTACGCGGATGAATATGATTTTATCAATGAAAATACTATTTATTACCGAATACTACACAAACCGAGTAGTGGAATATATAGATTCTACATGTCGGACTGTTTGGGCGAGAGGATTTTCGCTAAAACATTTACTTCAATTTTAAACAACAGGTTTACCCTGAACAAAATACCTCGAAATTAATAAGGATTACAAACCCGAAATGCAATGGAAGTTCTAAATTTAGAATGACTTGATATTATTCAGACTTTCTGTGTATAACTTCTCCGTGGTACAGTGGTAACGCGCTCGCTTAGTGAGTGAGAGGTCTCGAGTTCGAATCCCAGTCGAAGAAACTTTTTTTTTTTGTTAAATTCTTGTTTAAGTGTTTTTGTTAAGGAAGTAGCCATGATATGCAAGGATAAAGTGTGGCTGTCGTAAAAAATGAACATAAATGATTTTTTGATGCAACTCTAGTTATGCAGAATTCCGTATGTATCAAACTCTGGTGCCTTGCAAAATGAATTATAATACATAAAAATAAACCTATACAGGAAAATGCATACAGATATACAGTACGATTTAGATTGCAAAGATCAAAAAATACCACAGAACTTGCAGCCCTTTGATTCTTTATAAATATAAATGCTTATAGTAAGCTCCAGGATTATTTACATCTGTGTTAAACAACAGTTAAAGTCGTTACAAGCCCTAATTTAGAATAATATGGTTTTCTTCAGCCCGTTCACATATAAATTCACCGTGGCTGAAGGGTTTCCGGGCTCGCTTAGGAAGCGAGAGGTCTGGAGTTCAAATCCCAGTAAAGGTAACTTTTTTTTTTCAAATTGTTAAAGTCAAATAAACATTGGATTGAATATCAGTGTTGCAATTAGTCTTATAGCCAATTTACTACAATTAAAACGCTGGAAAGCATTGATGGCACTATACATATAATCTCACAACCTGCACCTTTCTTACATTCTGAGACCCAAACAAATTCAGCG